CCCCCCCCCCCCCCCCCCCCAGTGCTCACCCTCGCGTCGGAGCTGCGGTGAGGCCAGTGACCTTCGGTGAGGACCTCGGCGGGGACACGAACAGCTCTAAACCGGACGTCAGGTTCGTTTCAGAAGCCTGAAACTCTAATTCAAAACTCTCAAACCGATCCTAAACCATAAGACCCTGTGTGAGCAAAAAACTCCTAAGACCCTGAGACTCTGCAAAAGCCCATTTTGAACACTCAAAGTCTCGGACCCAATGCAATAGACCCTCAACCTGTGACACGAAACCCTAAGACCCTAAACGCACCCCAACACCCTTATGCTCTAAACCCTATAGTCCCTACTTTGCGCTTTTGTCTAAAGCAAGCTCAAACCCTGAACGCTTGTTACCAAATCTGAAATGTGAGTAGTAGCAACTTGTAGTAGGTCTAAACCCTATACCTTAGACTTAACTGGAGCTCTGGAAGCCTTTCGGCCTCCTGCATGAAACTTCTGCGGACACAATTGGTGTGTGACCCAGCCAAGCGTAAGACCTTGAGCTGTGACACGCCGAGCAAACCACCAGTGCTCTGGAAGTATTCCTCGTTCCACTTCAAATCATCGTCCAAGCACGGCTCGACTCCGATTGCCGACGCAAGGGAGTCGAGTCAGCCCGCCAAAAGCAGCCCCTGTACATCGACGGGGTTTACCTCCGACCTGTCTCGGTTGAGAGTACATTTTCCCACCATGCGCGGTTTCAACGGCAAGGTAGTGCACATACGACCGTCGAACCGTCCTCCTGGGTACCTGGGCAGCTCGGGTGATGTAGGGGCCTTAATAATTACCCATATTATCTTGGGGGTTAATTATGCTAATTATGGTATAATGTAATTACCCCGAAACCCTATATTCTAAGTACTAAGGCCCCTATTTTAAAGCTTGCAACCAAGCAGCAGGACGTTGCCGGAGACAGCATGCCAGAGGTCCTGTGGCTTCGCATCGGAGAAGCTTTGGGGTTCGGGCTTACCCCAAATCCCAAAAACCTAAAACCACCCTAAACCCTGAAACAACCCCAAAACCTTGAAACCCTTAACCACCCCTAAAACCACCCTAAACCCTAAACCACCCCTAAAACCACCCTAAACCCTAAACCACCCTAAACCACCCTAAACCCTGAAACAACCTAAACCCTAAGCCCTAAACCTTTTGTGGGTTTTTAGGGTTTAGGATGTAGGACTTAAGGGAGATTCAGAGCTTCGGGAAGCTCGGGGTTCGGGTGGGGGTTCGCTGGGCTCTTGGGGGTTAAATAGAGGCGCCTTAATAATTAGAATAGGGTTTTCGGGAGTTGCGTTTAAGAGCTCCTTAACGGGTTCTATATGGGCTGCGAAGGGTTTAGGGTTTAGGGGCCTTAAAAATTAGAATAGGGCTTTGGGCTACTTTATAGTATTGTTATAATAAGGAACCCCGAAAGCCCGATTCTGATTATTAAGGCCCCTACAGTATACGACCTTAGAGGGATGCTCTCGTGTGCTGTTCCTACAGCCGCTCAATGTTGATATGGGTTGAGGCGCATTTAGAGTTTAGGGTTTAGGTGGGGTCTCTGGACTATACTCACCAAAACAGTACTGGGCAATTGCAACTAGAATGAATGCAACCAGCATTACCACTACAAGATTGTGTGCCCCAGGACCCTAAGAATACCCATAGACCTCCCTGAGAAGTCCCTAAAAAGCGGAAGCCACCCAGAGGCCTGCGCACCGGTGCGTGAAGCAGCTCCTAGGTCGGCGCCTCTCTGTTTTGGGGGCCCTGTAGGACTCGATATGAAGCTTCGGTGTGACTAGGGGCTGGGGCGAGGAAGCTTTGCGTGTTCAGGCTTTGGGGTCTTAACGCCTTCAGGGTTTGGGGGGCTTCACGGTTTCAGCTGAAGCTTTACAGAGCCTTCTTGGGGGTTTAGGGTTTCGGGTTCCTGCCGGCAGTTCCCGACGTGGAATGTTCTACTGTGCGAGCACGCTCCAGCGGCACCCGAAGTCCTTGCAGCAGCTAGGCTGAAGCGCAGTAGCTGTGTAGACAACCACGAGTCGATGCGAAAACTGGGGGCCGGGGCACCTATTGAGGGGATATATAGTGAAGATCCAACGGAGTCCTACTGCTCAAAGGCATACCTTAAGCGCCCCTAATAAGGATCCTCCATCTTCGATCTGAAACTGCCACATGGGTAGTTCTGAAAATTAGGGTCCCTTTTCAGGTCCCAGATATACTACGGCACCCTTATAAAAAGGACCGAAAAGGAGCACTAATTTAGAGAACTACCCACATGGCCCCTCAAGCTTGCCGCATTCCATGAGCCGTATGCCAATCTCGCAAACACCTTTGCATGCGAACCCACTGAGCAGCGATTTCGCGCAAACATCCCAAGGCTAGACCGCGACACCTTTAAGCGAGAAACCCGAGGAAACACGTGGCGCCTGCAGGCAACACCGCGTCCATACGCAGCTGCCCTCCAGGCAAGCTCCCTTGGGTCAGGATTCAAGTGTTATTTCATAATTGCGGTTTAGGGCCTCTTGGGCTTACTGCAATGTCTAGTACCCACAGGCCCCTTAGTAGTTCCTTTTTGGGGATTACCTAATAGGACCCTAAATGGAAGCCACAAGAGGAACTACTATGGGGCCTACGGCAGGGAGAGCGTCTTTGCGATCGAGAAGGAGCGACTCTCGGGAATTGAACAAAGAAGCTCTACACTGCTAATCTAAGGTAGAACCCATGGGCCCCTAGTATGGGCCCTTAACCCTGGGACCCTAATATACCTACTATATACCCTATATATACCCTTAAGGGGCCCTAGAATCCCCTAAGGGCCCATG